AAATCTACTTTCGTATTCAATAAGACCTCATTCTTAATTTAATTTCCCCAATCACTTCAAAATGTAATATGAACACTAATTTATACTTTTTTTCTTGTTGACTCGCACATAAATATCTAGTTTTAATTTCTTTTAGTAAATTTAAAGCTAGATTATTTAATTATCATAATAACACTAATTTTAGAACTCATATCTTACTCTTACTAAAATTATAAATGGAGTTTATGGATATTTATTAGAAGGTATCTCCAGAATGGATTACCAGATCTTGTCGAAATTTGGTAGAAATGTAGAACATAGTCTGGAAGAACGCATGGACTACTAATTAAGATATTTAATGCCACGCGGAGGGAGTCGCGGGCTACAGCTAGTGTAATTTAAACGTAGGCGGTATCATATACCAAAGCAATCGTATTTAAGTCAACAGTTCATGTTCAGCCACTCGACGTATCAACGAAGTGACACTAACGCCCACTAGTGTCAATAGAAAAAACTATTCGACCATCCGGGTTTTAGTTATTACGTTATTCTATTCGTTGAACTTAAATTACTGACTTAGTTTATGAGACCAATATATCTTTATAAAACATATCGTCATCCCTGTCATTATCTTTGATTAAACAGAGATAACAATATGTTTTAAACGTTGTTTTTTTTTGTTAGAAAACCTAAGTGAATCGACATCACTAGTACAAAACATTTGTGCGAAATAAGATACGAGAAAGCATAATCGAAAGCACGAAAATGTTTGGGAAAGTATTTGTAACGTTATCGACAACATTTATACGAGATTTGTAGATCCCTAAAGGATGTAAACTAATACGACAAATCTCATACAAATGACATATTCATAATAGTCTTTTTGAGTCAAAAACATCGGGTTTTATATCGCTCGCAATTTCACTAAAGATACTGCAGTATACAATTTTATATGTCAAGAGGACATTATACCAAAGTAGATTAATCAGGCATCTACAAAGACATGCGCTTATTCTACCGAGCTGTTATAAAGTTTGAATCTTTTAATACCTGCCTATAAAAATATGTTGTTCTATATTGACAGAACATCAAATTGTAGATACATCTTGTTGACATGACCGTTGACCTCAACGCCCACAGAGTTATTAAATGTTTTGACTACGCACCGTTCAGTCGAGTCTTTTCTAAATCTATAAGTGTACTTATCTAAACATACTATTGACTACCTATACCCCTTTCCAATTTATATTTATCGAGCTGTTGTCGACTCCGTCCGGGCGGAATTAAAAAAAAATATTAGTACCCTGTGTGTTCTTCCAGACTTTGTTCTATGTCAAATTTCAGTGATATTCATGCAACTATACTGAAGATACCTTCAAAAATCCATACAAAATTTCGCAGTAAGATAATTTATCAAGTGTAACTTAATAATAATTTTGATTTAATTATAAGCTGTTTGCATAAAATACTTTAAAAATGTTTAAAAGAAAGCGCATGCATTGATAACTTATTTGCGAGGCTTTTACCGCGCTCGTTGAAATCTTTTGTTCTTGATAACTTAGAATATGAATAAGTTTGAAAGTAAAATCAATTAAAATAAATAAAACTTTCTAACTGAACTTTTCGAATAAGTTGAATTTACAGTCTTATTTGCTATTTATAAAAATAAAAAACAAAATACATATTACTTCTTAATAATTTTATAATTATACGCATATATCAAATTTGACTTGGTGATCTAAAACAAACTAAATTATGAAGGCTTACTAGCGCCCTCTTGTCAAAATCAAAACTGTCACAAGATCTTAATTGTACTATAGATAGATGTCTTCTCTTATATTTTATTTTAGTCATTTACTATCACCATGTAGGTTTTACATATTTTCGGCAGAACTTACTGCGATAGCAGCACCTCTCACCAGTTCAGATAAGCTTGTCCCACTATAGTATGTACAGTGGTGGAAATCCGCGGTGTTCTACTTACAGGAAAATTGCTTTGTACTTTACAAGGAGACAACACCGCCTCTTACAAATAACCAATTGGGTACAACTGACCGACTTTTTGTACATTAAATACTGCTTCATATTGGTTACTTTTCCGGTCTCAACGTGTAGGCTTTTATATTATATAAAATAAGAGGGCAAACGAGCAGCGGGAACATCAAGGTGTTCAACGACGCCCATGGACATCTGCAATGCCAGAGGAATCGCAGATGCCTTGCGGGCCTTCGAAAAGATGATAGTCTCGCTTCTTGAAGGACCCTAAGGACATACCATTTCACAACGAAGTTTCGCGAAAACCGCACGGTTGTAAATTGCCAGCCATCAATGTAGATAGACGTTCAAACAACTGTAGATTATATGGAACACCGCCAAATTCCCTGATTGTACACGTGTGTAGTGACCAAACAATAGCCTTACGAAGATACCGTAAGATATTAATGAGCTTTCAAAAACAACAGACAATAGTTTTTAAGACTATTAACGTCGTATACTCTAATAGATGATGAAAATCGATTATAATAATTGAACATCATTCTTTAAACATGCCAGACCTAAATATAATTCGTGAGATCGGCATTAGAGGTTAAATAGTCAAAATCTTACTAGGATTATAAACTAGCTGTCGCCCGCTACAATGTCCGGGCGGTATTAAAAAATCTAAATCAGTAGCCTACGTGTTATTCCAGACTATGTTCTTCGTTAATGCCAAATTTCAGCGAAATCCATAAAGGCGTTCTGCAGATACCTTCAAACAAATATCCATCCATCCATCTAAACATTCGCATTTATAATATTAGTAAGAAGTAAGATGCGAATATTTAGATAGATGGATGGATGGATGTTTGTAAGAAGGTAACTCCAGAATGGCTGTATGGATCTTGCTGAAATTTGACATAGATGTAAACATAGTCTGGAAGTACATATAGACTACTAAGTATAAGTTTTTTAATTCTATGCGCAAGTTTACTAACTTAAATAATGTAAAATTTTATAAAGTATCCTATTTATTTAAACGAAATATATTTTGTTTAGTACACCTGAAGTCAATTTATAAATAAAACCTAATTTCTTTTTCATTTTTACGCTTCTTTCAATGTTACATTGCCCAACTTTACAATATATTTAAATTTAAATAGTAATCGGATTGAATCATAAAAAATGCTTCCAAAGTTTTTTTTTAATCGAGCCTAATGTAAAAAAGCTACTGGCGAAAAAGTTATCTATAAAAAGCCAACTATATTCTGCCGATAATATTCTCGATTTCGAAATGTCGTAACAACCATAAGAATTGATTTTCGACCGTAAAATTTGACCCTAATGACAACATGTACTCGAGTCAAAATACCACCGTATAAATAATTACACGCACACATAAACAACCATGTAGTCACGGACGAATATTTCCTACCCGTTTTAGTGAAATGTCTTTTAACGTTCACAATGCGATTCGGTCTAAAATTGGTCATAAAAACATGCATACGTATCAAATTATAGCTCTTATGATGATAATTTAATGTACTATATTTGATCGTATGTGGGGATGGAATTAAATTCTTTGACTGTAGTCAAAATATGAGCGTATAATTTTACACACACTTATATAACCGGTATACACATATGAGTACACACATGTAAAGTACAATCAAACTGGTATATGAAAGAAACAATGTTATAGATTCGCGACGTGGTGCGAGAAGGAAGCTTTTTTTGTAGTACAGCTAAAAAATTAAGATAAAATTGTCGCTTTTTAAAATTAGGTCTTGTAATTATTGTTTTTCGTTCTTTACCTATACTAAGAATTACGAAAATAGTTTTTATTTTCGTCATTAAAGTTAACTTTTTAAAATTATGATTTTTTATCAGAATAACCATGAATGATACTGTAAACTAATAAAAATAGTACAAAAATTGTTTGCTTAATAGATACGTATTATCAATTAATCAAAAAAAAATTACAACATATCAAATGCGTATTTCAGCTTTCGTGTTTCATGTTCAATCTGTGAGTGTACTGCACACTCCCCAATCGCGTCCCGCCAGCGCGGCTGCTCGCGGCCACTCCATGTGATAGCCCCGAGCGACGCGCGCTCACGTGCCCCACAACACCGGCGCGCGGGAATTACGAATTCGAATTTAGAACAACTTTAGTTTTTAAAAAAATTGACAGTTTCTTTTTTTTAATTTCGTGTGTAATGTGCCAGTTTGTTTTTCTTAATTAGTAAGTGCATTTTTAGTGATTTAAATATAACATTGTGATTTAATTTTTTTTTTAATAATATTGGAAATTCAATACGATATAGTGTTTGTTTTTAATAAATGCAGTATTACGCGAGTAAACGAGGAGTAATTTTCTACATCAATAACGGGCAAGTAAACAATAACATTCTTAACGAAAAAGCGAGATGCAAATATAAGCTAGAGGGAGATAGACAAACAAATCTACGATCAAAAGAAAATAGAATTCTCATACAAAACGTAATGACGGTACAATAATCGTGTAAAAGTTCACGATTGCCCAACACTATTACAATAAACCGACCGATGTAATGAGATCTTAAGCAAATTAGTTTCTGGTAGAAATTGGTTCTACACTGAGGGGTCAAGTTAGACTGGTCGTGATAACGATCAGTCGATGATTTAGACCGCCTTAAACCGACAATGGTAACAGATAACCCCCAGCGGTTACTTACAATGTGACCAATTACATTAACTAAGCCAAGATGACCAAAATGAACGGTAACATCATTCCAAATATAAACGAAGAAAATCTATCCGTTAACGAGATATTTAACGATAATTCAATAATTAAAAACAAAAATAATTTCGATGTATACATAGATAATATTAATATAGAATTAAATAAATACAATAATAATAATAATAATTTAAAATTAATCGATAAAACAAATGAAGGCACGAAAAGAAAAACAAAAGACAAACGAATTGGAATCGATACAGATTACACAAAAACAGTGAGACTTGAATTAAGAGAAGACAATTGTATAATTGAATACAAAATGAACGATGAATTGAATAAGAACGGAACGAATGAAATAAATGAAGTACTCTCTTTGGAAAATGGCGATTTACATGAATATACTATAAAAGATAGCGATATAAGATTGGATACTAAAGTTGCTAATACCGAAGTGCTTGAACAAGGAGATAATGAATTTGTTAATGGACATCAAGAAGATAAGGTTAGTATTTATTAAAAAAAAACTAGGTATAAATGTAAAAATCATGTAGTTAACACTTTCGATGCCACCAGTATGCTTGGCGAGTATTTTACACAGGGATAATAGAGTCTTTCAGAGTGTTAAATTTATTTTAAATTTATAAGTACCTATTTAAAAGTGGAACGCTGCCAGTATCTTCAGAACTGTACCTAATGGGACTCTCTGTTATAATATATTAAAGTTAATTATTAAGTACATAGTAACTATTTGAAGTTTATAAAATTTATTATCAGTTTATAATATAACTAGTCGGATTATAAACTGATAAAACAGTTGGTCAATGACATGAGTTGACATCAACCTAAATACGAACTTTCCTATAACTACAAACTAATATTATAAATGCAAATGTTTGGATGGATGTTTGTTTGCAGGTATCTCCAGAACGGCTACATGGATCTTGCTGAAATTTAACATATATGTAGAACATAGTCTAGAAGATATAGGTTAATGATAAAGGTTTTTTAATACTGTGCAGACGGAGTCGCGGGCAACAGCTAGTTTAACTATAAAAATTATCGTCACACGAAACGATGTCGCAAACCGGTCAGCTTTTACGGGACAGTTTCGATTACGTAACGTTTAATGCTTTTTTATATTTTGTCTTGCAATTTAAAAATGCACTCGGTCGGTACATCAATGGTCGAAAATGTCATCGATAACTGAGGTAACAATATTCGATAATTTCGATTTTGTGAGCTTACTTATTTTATCGATGTTAAAATCGATACGTAACATCGATATGAAATATCGAACTAGTATATTGAAGTTATATGTATGTTATATTGAGTGTCGGCGGCTCAGGGGTCAAGCATTTGACTTGCAATCTGCAGGTCCTGGGTTCGAATCTCGCCATGTACCAATGTGTTTTTCGATTTCCGATTTACATATGTACATTTATCCGACGTACTTACGGTGAAGGAAAACATCGTTATGCTGCACATATCTGAGAAGAAATTCAAAGATATGTGTGAAGTCAACCAACACGCACTTGGCCAGCGTGGTTGACTATGGCCGAATCACCATTAACTTAGGGTAGGCTCCGAGCCCCTCGGTGGGGACGTATAGAGAGCCGATGATGATATTGAAGTTATATTTAACTCTACATACCATTGACTTGGTTTTGTCCGCGACTTCGCGTTCTTCCCGTGTACTACTCGTACATATGCTGTTCTGGATATATCCTCTAACAGACAAACACCCAAACTATTGCATTTCAATGTATCGAATAACACGACTATCTTGCTCACGTGATAAACAATTGAAAATCAAAGATGGAATTTCTATTCGTCGATGTTGCCAGGATTATAAATTACAATCACCCAATTAATGGTAAATTCAGGTCCGGTAAATTACCATATACTTACGTAGTCTATTATCAAAATTGTAGCTTATTCTTTTTTATCTTCTTCCCAATTTCAGGCAAAACAATTGTGATATGGTCTCAATTATTATATTAAATCTTATACTAATTGAAAAGAGAATTTATATATATATTAATGCTAGTCGTCGCCCGCGATTACGTCCGCGAGGAATTAAAAAAAAAAACTTAATTAGTAGCCTATGTGTTCTTCCAAACTATGTTCTACATTTATGCCAAATTTCAGATCCATGCAGCCGTTCTGAAATTACCTTTAAACAAACATCCATCTATCTGAACTTTCGGATATATATTAGTAAGTTAATATAAAATTCTTAAACTCTAACCAACTTTGACACAAACTACGGTCACCGGAATGGCCAAGAGACATTTCATAACATCGATAGTGGCCACAATACTTGCGATCTGGCACAGATAAGGTCCCAGTCTATTCATTGACCCCCACGAATGTTTACAATAGACCTACAATGCGGAAGGATCGTCGATTTCATTAGCAGTTCCGGGTTCGATTTAAGTAAAAGTCGCTGAAGATCAAACAGATAAAGTTGAAAGAACTTACAACGGTTCTGTGGTGCTCTGACAAACCACGACAATGGTCTTGGATGTCTTGGAGAGTTGGTATTTCGAATTTAATTAATGACTAGCCGTTGAGTCTTTATACGATTGCTTCAAGAGTGCCATAATGTAGATGTTTCATTCTTAATTTACACTATGGAACCCTTAGTGAGTACTTTAAGGCTCTGAGTAAGACATATTATTTAATATGGAACTAATTCTTATTGATAATTAATAATAAAAAATTGTGTCCTAATGAAAAATATAAAAGCATTTCAAAAGGTCATTCATTTTATGGTCCTCCGAGTCAGATAATATCTGTACTAATATTATAAATGCGAATGTTTGAACGTATAAATTGATAAATGGATCCAGAACAGCTGCACGAATCTCACTGTTGGCATAGAAATAGGACATAGTCTGGAAGAACACAGGCTGTTAATTAAGTTTCAATTCCGTGATACGGAGTTCTGGGCGACAGCTAGTTAAGATATAAAGAAACAAAAATCGTCTAAGAGATAACAAAATTTCTTTAATATTAATTATCAATAAACCGCTACAGCCTAGTGTGGGCGATAAACACAAAACATCGAGATGTCAATAATTTAGAAAGTCGGGAAGGCCGGAAACGCGAATCGGACTATAATATAACCGTGAAATTCCACCAGCGTGACACTTGTATTGTTGTCCCTCTTTTCTCAATAAGAAAGATAGAGATGACGATATGTGGCAATGCAAGTTGTAGTCGAAACCAGACAGTAAGATTCAAACTTTACAGCAGCTCATGGTTAGCTGCGATCTTGACTCCGCATAACAGAGCCAGGCCCTGGTTGTCCCTTTACGTAATGACGACACAATTGTGAGCCGGTTTAAAGTTTGGATGGAACAATACAACGTAGATTATGTTATTAATGAATGAATTTCTTGGAAGAAAATAAACTACGTTGATTTTTGCGGTTTTTCTGTCGTTTTTTCTTGAGAAAAAAACCGACTTTCTCATTGATAAGATTCTGAAGAAAGCTTTAAGAATATTGATAATTAATCGTACATAAACTTTGTCAATACGAATAGCTATGCATTCTTTTAGGTAAAAAATTGCGTTGTAAAACAAACTAAGTAAAATGACGCCTAATTTTTGTCCTTAATTTACATCCCTGTATATTATCCTAATCTTATTAATATTATTATATAAATTCGAATGTACGGATGGATGGATGTTACAAGGTACTGGATGTTACAAGGTGAACTGCTGCATGTATCTCCTTGTAATTTGACATAGATGTAGAACATAGTCTGGACTAAGTTTAAGACTAATTAAGTTTTTTTTTTTTAATTCAACGCGGACAGAGTCACGGGCTACAGCTAGTTAGTAATATCATGGTTTTAATAATACGTAATACTAAAAACTTGGTACATACTTAACATATACATACGTGGCCCACATACGAGCAACCTTTAAGACATGCCGACGTATTTTTACGCTCAGTCGAGTTGACCAACAAATATCTTGTTTAAATTACACATTCAAAAAACATTTTCATTCGTGGGGTTAAATGTCAATTAAAATGAATGAAATATACCATTTTATTTTATATGTTTACGTGTAAAACATTAGCTGAATGGATATTGTTTAGATGGATGGATGGATGTTTGTTTGAACGTATCTCCGGAACGGATCAATGGAATTTGATAAAATTTGGCATAAATGTATACCATAGTCTGAAAGAACATAGACTACTCATTTTTTTTTTTAAATTGGCGCGAACGGAGTCGCAGTTGACACCTTTTTGGCATTAAATTGGAATAGTCTGGAAGAACACATAGGCTACTTATTAAGTTTTTTTTAATTAAAACATTAACGGAGTCGCAGGCTACAGGTATTCTGTTATGAGACATTTATTTCAAAGCTTTCTCTTTAAATAAAAACTAATTATCAATACGTAAAAGTGAAACTAGTCTTAATTAAGATCAATTAATTTATTGACATTAGGCTATCTTGTTTTTTTACTCTTTTATAACCAGCCTATGATCTTATGATAGATAAAAAAGATTGCGAAAAGTTTTTATTACTTACTATTCTATTCTAATTTTAATTTAATAGCTGTCCGCTCGCAACTCCATTCGTGCGGAATAAAAAAAACAACTTAATAAGTAGCCTATGTGTTCTTCCAGACTATGTTCTATGCCAAACTTCAGCGAGATCCATGCAGCGGTTCTGGAGATACCTAATAACAAACAACCAAACATTGGCATTTATAATATTAGTAAGATGACGTATAATCTATAATAAAAAAATATACAAACGTCACTATCTAAATATTGAGAAATAATTTAAATGTAACGTAATTTATTTTATAACTTCGTATGTTTTATACTTTTATATCAACGTTCAAAATGTGAGTTGTAGGTACTTTTATTTGTAATTTTTACGAAATTAAAAGCTAATATTCAAACAAGCTTTACCAAGCTTGAAATGGTTGATGAAAGCTTTTTTATTCAGTTACGACAAAACAGCTTAAAGCTTTTTTGTCGTAAAGTAACTTTAATATAATAAAATAAATTGTTATTCTTAAATTGCACTACTTATTTTTGACATTAAGTATATAAATACTTATGTTATATAAGTAAAGATGGACCAATAATAAGATTAATCTTATTAATTATATAAATGCGAATGTTTAGATGGATGGATGTTTATTTGAAAGTATCTCCAGAACGGCTGTATGGATTTTGATGAAATTTGGCATACATATAGAACATAGTCTTGAAGAACACATAGGTTATTTAATCTACGCGACAGTAGTCGCGGTCGTCATTTAGTCATTTATAATTAAGACTGTCTCAATTCAATTTTGCAACAAGCAATGTCACACTAGATGTGTTAAGCATCGAATATGAACCTGTCGCCGTACGATAATAGTTCTTACAACGTTGTATTAAGTGTGATTATCGTAGGAATATTTAAAATAGAGTTTGTAGATGTTTGTATCGTTTAGTTGTTTCAAAAAGGTCGCTTACGTCGGTT